AACAAGTAACAAACTCTAATGATAGAGTTGTTGGAACCGAAAATAATTCGGTTGATAAGCCAAATATCGATGGTTTAGAGATCCTCCGTTTGTTGATTTCCCAGACTGTGTAAGGAGTCAATCCTCCTTTTTCTGCTTCTGGAAGATTTGAGCTGCGTTGGGCAGCGGTTGATAAGCTGCGTTGGGCAGCGGTTGATAAGCTGCGTTGGGCAGCGGTTGATAAGCTGCGTTGGGCAGCGGTTGATAAGCTGCGTTGGGCAGCGGTTGATAAGCTGCGTTGGGCAGCGGTTGATAAGCTGCGTTGGGCAGCGGTTGATAAGCTGCGTTGGGCAGCGGTTGATAAGCTGCGTTGGGCAGCGGTTGATAAGCTGCGTTGGGCAGCGGTTGATAAGCTGCGTTGGGCAGCGGTTGATAAGCTGCGTTGGGCAGCGGTTGATAAGCTGCGTTGGGCAGCGGTTGATAAGCTGCGTTGGGCAGCGGTTGATAAGCTGCGTTGGGCAGCGGTTGATAAGCTGCGTTGGGCAGCGGTTGATAAGCTGCGTTGGGCAGCGGTTGATAAGCTGCGTTGGGCAGCGGTTGATAAGCTGCGTTGGGCAGCGGTTGATAAGCTGCGTTGGGCAGCGGTTGATAAGCTGCGTTGGGCAGCGGTTGATAAGCTGCGTTGGGCAGCGGTTGATAAGCTGCGTTGGGCAGCGGTTGATAAGCTGCGTTCGGGCTGTGCTTGGTAACGATTGGAGTTGCGTTCGAGCTGTTGATTAGATTTCTCTGTCTTTATATATGGATGACACCAAAGGCCAGTAAAGAAGGTCTTATTCAGGCCATCTGTGACAATTGAGGCATCTCAATAACGCTTTATCAACTGCAGGTCATGATCGCCACTGAGTGTGTCGAATATCATTACACTGCTCATCAGCACCTCTAATGGTTGCTAACATGATATCAGTCATGTTGTTGTCGCAGCCATCAAGATCAATCATCTCACATAAGAAGCTGCATTCGTGTTTATAGCTGTTGAAGCGGCGTAGGTGATTGAATCGGTGTAGTGTCTTGATGATGGTACGCGGGGAGGACTTCCACGTCTTGGTTTGAAGAGATCGTCGATTTGTAATCCTTTCTGTCAGAGTATTGCTAATAGACTGTCGTTTTGTAATCTTTGCTTTAACTCTTTGACATGTGAAAATCTTCGAATTGTAGCCTTCTGGAAGTCGTCAGATTGTAACTTCCATCATCAGTGTTCGATGGAGACTCAACTATCCATTGTGATTTTTAGACAGCCTACAGAACCCCCTCCAAAGTTTTCGAAAGTTCGCGGTTGACTGGGACGAATTTTCGGAATACTTTGGATCCCAAAACTTTGCTGATTAAATGTATTCCATCGTAGACTGAATAGAGCCTCTCAGGGTTTTAGGCAAATTCCATCGACACCCTCCTTCTTGTTTGCTTTGTCAATAATGGCTTGGACCTCAGCTTGCATGAACAGACTTTCATCCCCAGCTTAGTCAGGAGGACAGCTTCGAAAGACTCTTCTCGATCAGCTTGTCTAGGGTAGAATGATCTCAGCAGTCTGATTATTGCTTGGAATATTAACCCCTTTGAAGGTGTTATTTATGTGAGTGCAGTCATCAGAACGCATGTCTAAATCATGCGTTCGACTGTTTGACCGTGAGGGTGCGTTTGGTAGTTTGAAAAACCCCTCCTCCCCTTCATTTGAAAACGCGAGAATCACGTTTCAGGTGAGATTTTACCTAAAATCTCGTTTCGATTTGACAGCTACAGCTGTTTATAAATGGACCACTGAGGTCAAATCAAAAAGTCATTCGACTTTTCCCTTTCTTGTTTGATTTCTAAACAGGGCTACTGTTCATCTTCTCCAGCGCTTCAACGGAAGAAAGGGTCCGTTCCTGAATATTCCGCCCATCTTCGTCTTCCACTTCACGGTTGCCATGGGACCCAAGAAGAAAATGGCCTCCAAATCGAAGACCGCCCAAGCTCCGGATGTTCCTTTGGCTAGAGCCTCCGGGGATGATCAAGTTCTCACGCCTTCGTCGCTAGTTCCTTCAACCAATGGTAAGATTGACCCATTGGAAGTCGATTTGAGAGATCTCTCATTTTCAACCCTTGATTGGCGATCCGTGTTCCAATTAAACGTATGGCTAGTTCCATCGTTTCTGAAATTTCAACGTAGGTTCAGACCCTGTGTTTTAAAAAAATTTTGGACGCAGGTCTGAACCTTGTGTTTAGAATTTT